CAATGCTCATGGTTAAGGGGGTTAACAAAAGGGTAGACAGATGTGCCGCTGGTATTTTGTCCTACTGTCAGTTTGTCCTACTGTGGTGGCTGGTGTGTTGCTGGAAGCTGTGTCACTGGTATTTCAAAAAGCAGCAGGATCACTCAATGTGAACAGGTTAACCAAGCTTCCAGACTAAGAACAGACAACAAAGAAGGAATAGGGTGTCCACTTCAGAGGAATTAGCCATGGAAACCTTTTGGATAGCAGTGGAGCATTGTCAGATACTGAGTACCTCATGACTAGCAGCAGACCATTGTCAGAGAGCGTGCCAGAAGATAGCCCCTCAGCTTAGGAGGGGTTCAGAATCTGACTGAGGAAGAGCTGCCTTCTCACTCTAGGGCCGACCATGATAACGTGGGTAGAGTAAAACCTTTGGGGAGGAAATCCTTCAGGGCCCCCGTTTGCTGACGAAGCATGACTCAAAAACGAGAAGCGACACCTGTAGACATCTATTGATATTTGGAACTTGCAATGTATGAAGTATGACTCTAGGGAAATTGGAAGTCCCCAAAAGGGAGATGGATATTTTAATGCCCTTCTTGCTTTTTATGACATGTATCAATCTGGTGGGCATGGCTCTCTCCTTTTTTTGCTGTTTTGTTTTAGAGGCATTTTATTAGACAACTAAAAACTATTAGACGATGTTCAGAAGCTGTGTACAATGAAAACAAACCAATTACTTTATAATGTATTTCCTCTTCTTTACAACTGAAGCAAAAAGTCTTTCTGCTTTAAGACAAGTCAGAAAAATAGGTCATTATATTTTTTTCTCCACAGTAACATAAACAGCTACAAGAATTCTAATTATAACATGAGGAATTGGATGTTGGCTTGCACACATTCTTTCTGAAGGACAGTAGGCTGTCTTAACTCAGCCTGCCTGGCTCTGTCCTTGTGAATGAGTATTAAAAGTTTCACCCTATCACCAACTCCCATTTTTTGTGTAAATAGTGTTCAGTCACCTAAGAGTTTAATTGCTATACGTCACCATTTCATGTATTGCTGTCCATAAGTGGCCTGTATTTATATAATTTCCTCTTCTCAATAGTGTTTTAAATTCTGTAATATTGGCTAAATTAATTATGCTAGCAATAGCATTACCTTATGCCCCGCGGGGATGATTGGTAAATGTTCTCTAACATGAAATGACAATGATGTCTTTGAGGTGAACCAGGGACATATATAAACCATAGATAGATGAATGGGTTTTGTGCTCACTGAATTCTAGCCCCAATCTAAGAGCAGTCAGTTCTTTTTTTTTTTTTTAATTATTTTATTGGGGGCTCATACAATTCTTATCACAATCCATACATCCATCCAT